GGTGATTCAGCTAGCAAGCAAGCCTAGCAACACGCCTCCCGGGCATAGCCTGCGTGTTTCGAACAAATCTTCTTCAGGCATATAAATTTTCCTGGAACCACAGCTCTTGAATTTACCCATGCATATTCTGGTTCAGCCATTTTTACATTGTCTGACTTATACCCCATTAAGGTAGCTTCCCAAACGTTAATTCTTGACAGCACTACACACACACAGTATATACACACATATCTGAAGGATTATTTGGTTAGCAGAGTGCTCAAGGCACATAGCGCAGCAGAGTCTATCTGGTTTGTGTGTGCTGACAAGAAACAAAGTTACACATGGAGCTTCTTTATCTTTGTAAAACTAACATGAGTCCTTTATTGTAAGGAACTCCATTCTAGTTAGGATAGGGATAGGATTCTAATCTAGTCTAACTAGCTAGGATGGATAGAGATGCAGGAAAGCATGTCCAGCCCTCATGGCGCCAAGATGAAGAAGAGCTAGTACAGTGTGGAGAGGAGGTGTCAGACTAGAAGGAAGGAAGTTTCCCTGAGAGTAGCAATCTACACATCAAAGGGATAGTATCAGAGCAGCAGAAGAGAAGGATGATCAGGGTCCTGGCCTCCCTATCTCTTTGACCCCTCTTACAGACCCCTCTAAAGTCTGAGGCTAAGAGACAGTGCAAAGTCCTTCCCTTCCAACAATATTCTGATAAAGTATTATTTATCCTCTCACCTAGGCATATCGAATATATCATTTCCATGCTGTCTCATGATGGGTTCTTTATTTTTGGAGCTCTTAGGGCAACAGCCTCAGGTCCCTTCACAGATGAGAGCAGCACAGGAATCAAGCCCACCCAAGTGGTCACTTTAGGAGTCAGGGCTCATTAGTAACAGAATGTGCAATCCTGTGCATGTTTACTCAGAAGTAAATTCAACTTCGTTCAATGGGGCTTCCCCTAAAGGAAGTGTGTGTGTGAGTCCCACTAAGTGAAGTAGGTCTTACTTCTGAGAAAACATGCATAGGAATGCAGTTACCTGTAAGTAAGCCCCACTGCACACAAGGCGATTTACTTCAGAGTAAGCATGGCCTACAGTTTGCCAGCTCTGAGTTGGGAAATCCCCAGATTTGGAGTCTGGGGAGAGACCATCAAGGCCTAATGCGGTAGAATCCACCTTCCAAAGTGCCCTTTTTCTCCAGGTGAACTGATCTCTGTCTCCTTGAGATCAGTTGAAACACCAGGAGATCTCCAGCTACCCCCGGGGGAGGTAGGCAACCCTATTTAATAAATTTCAGCAGGGTAGCCGTTTTAGTGGACCCAAACAACAAGAGTCCCTTGAGACTCGTGTTAAACTCTTGCCTGCAGTGGGGCTTACTTGCAGGTGACTGCGCATTGCATCGCAGCCATGCGGCATGGCGTCCTAACAGGGCCGGATTTAGACTTGCTGAGGCCCTAAACTATACAAAACCCAGAGGCCCCCTACTGTTTTAAATTACATCAGCTGGTCTAAAAAAAAATTAAAATATATACACCTTTTTAATATTTGAAATCACTTTTTATATTGTGTTTTTATTCGAGGCCCCAGCAGATTGCGAGGCCCTAAGCTGTAGCTTATTTAGCTTATGCGTAAATCTGGCACTGCGTCCTAAGCATGTTTTCTGAGCCTCCATAGGAGGTGGCGGCCAGAGCCCATTGCATCTGACGAAGCGCGCTGTGGCCCCCGAAAGATGTTGCCATAATAAGACTTTTGCACCTATACAAGGTCATTTCTGCTATAAACGGTTCTCTTCCAGCGGCGCTCTAACCCACGGGGAGTGCGGACGGGGCGGGGTCGAAATCCGGCGCGAGACGCGATTGGGCGCCTGGGAGCCGGTAGGCGGGGCTGCCCCGCGCGCAATTCCACTCTTTGTTCTATCGGGAAGGGAGGCGGGAGGCGGGAGGGCCAAGTCGAGGCGGGGCTGTTCGGAGTTGGGGGCGTGGCCCACGAAAGCGGCTATTCCCCGGTTGGTCAATGCTTAGGAAGGCGGGCGGAGTTCTGTTGCTGGGGCCGGTTGCGATGGACGCCGCGGCCCGGGGCAGTGGAGCCGGGAAAGCATGGCGGGCCTGGAGGGCGACGACGCCGTGGCCGCCGTGGATCACATCGTCACCCAGTTCAACACCTACGAGGATTATCTGGACTCGCAGATCACCACGCAGGACCTCTATTACTTGGAGGTGAGGCCTCGGATCCCTTCAGCCCCGGGAGGGAACAGGAGCCACTCCTGGAACAGAGCGTGCTTCTGAGCATGTGCAGAGTGCATTCTCCCCCTCCCTTCCCCCCTGGTGGGGAGGACATTTCATAGCAGAGGCCGTGCGCGCGCGCGCTGCCCCTTAGTCTGTTTGCGGCCCTGACCGCGTCACCTTTTTAAGCGTGTGCCGGTTTTATAAGGGCTTTTTTTTTTATATAAACTTTTATTGTAATCAAAGATGTTACATTTAACAAAAACAAAGAAACAACATTAACATACAACTTGGGTAACCAATAACAATACAATAATAATAAAAACATGGTAAGTATGCATAACAGCAGAGAATCTCATATAGTGTATGTAAGGAGTATTACTCTACAATGGTCATTACAAAAAGGTAAGTGTGGCTGCTGCCACACACGCTAAGTAATCCACTTTCAATCCACTTTCAGTGTACTTTCAAAGTGGAGTTTTACTGTGTGAACTGGCAAAATCCACTTTGAAAGTGCACTGAAAGTGGATTGAAAGTGGATTACTTAGCGTGTGTGGCAGCAGCCTATATCACGGTAATTGTTAGGAATATAAGGGCTTGCCTGAAGCGTGTGAATGTGACATACACGGGGGCTGCTGGGCTGGATTGGTTTCTTTCATCGTCTTTTCGCTATGTTTTTTTTTTTGTCCAAAAGGAAAAGCTGACTTCCGAAGTGGTATGCAATAATATAAACTGAAAATATCAATGAAATTATATTTGTTTTGTGTGCGTCTGGATAAAATCAGTTGATTTGATTTGCTTGACATTGATTATCGTTATATGTAATATCCATCGCTCCATACTGAGCTTGAGGTGGCGAATTCTGCCTCTTACTAAAGCATGAATTGAATTGGCAAGCCTTCAGTTGTAAACCAGGCTGTCTCCCGTGCAGGCCTGGCGTTGTTCACAAACTCACTGTGTGGTCTTAGGCAATCCACTGAGGATATACTAAAATGAATAACAACAATCTGGCGTTTATTTTGAGCCTTCCTCCGAAGAACTCAGAGCATACCTAGTTCTCGCCTCCACTGTCTATCCTCACAACAGTCCTGTTGTAGGTTAGACTGTGAGTACGTAGCACAAGGTTACCTAGCAAGCTTCATTGGTTTAGTGAGGATTTGAACCTAGATTAGTCTGACTCCAGTGGCACCTTTAAGACCGACCAAGTGCCCCTAGGTTTGCAACTATTGCTGTGTGATGGTGATGTGGTTTTGTTATGTGTTGATACTGTGCGGTTGAATTTAGTGTTAAATTGTATTGCCCCCTCCCCCAATCAAAAGTGTTTTGCAGTGAGGTTTGTGCTTTGTAAGCTGATTGAGAGTATTGCCAGGAAACTGGACAGAATGTTGGCTGTCGGCTGAGACCTTCTGTAGCCTGAGAACTACTAAGGAGCAGGTGGCTGAGAAAAGATTTGCACATGCAGGAGAACGTGGTGGTAGAACACGTGTCCCAATGCTCCCTCTGAGCTGTGGAGTCTTGTGAGCAAAAATTCTGCTTTGTGAGCTACTGCCATTAAAGTTGTGAGCCAGCCATTTGGCTATTACAGCAGTTAGTTTGCTCTGGAGCCATCCTCCCTGAGCTTAGTCAAAAATGTGTGAGCCGGAGGCTAAAAAACTGTGAACTAGCTCACATTAACTCAGAGGGAACACTGCACCTCAGATTTCAGGGGATGAAACTTTGCTTTGAATGCTCTTGTGTATAAAAGGTACTCCATGCAAGCAAAACTCTAGTGTGGCAGGGAGAAAACTGCTCCTCTGTCTCTTTGCTTGCTGTGCTTGTTTTCCATCAGCAGGGTTTTTCATTTTTTAACATAGATGATTCTCTTCCTAAAGCAGCACAGCCCGGGGTGTCACCTTTGGCACTTTATTCCCCTGCCTGTGTGAATGAGAGTCAGGAAGGCTGAAGGAAGTGAGACAGAGCAGGCATCATTCTGAAAAATGGGAACCCGTGGAAACAGGAGGGGGCAGTGGGTGGGGGGAAATTGGGGCTGGAGCTCACCCTAGAGATGTGAAGGCCCGGAAAAATTTGGGAAAAAACTGTTTTTTCCCCATTTTTTTCCCTGAAGCCTTTTTTGTTTTTTTTCCAAAAAAATGGAAAAATTGAAAAAAGAAAAGGAAAAAAATTGATTATGGAACATTTTATTTTAACATAATGAATAAAATATTTTAAGACAAGGAGTTCAAATATTTTCCATATCATTTCTGAAAAATATGTATGGTATCAGATTGATCTAATTTCTGTGCACTGAGGACAAGCAAGTCCTAGGTTACAAACTGAACTCTCCAATGCAAGAGCAAGATGCATTTCTTCCTTTAGGAGGTGCTATTGTCACAAGAAAAGAAAAAGGTTTCAGCTTTCTTTTTGCATGTGGGTGGGTATTCTGTTTGTAATAATTGTTTGGATACACTATATTTTTTAATATGCTAGTTGTGATAATTTCATGCCAAGTAAAAATGTCCATAGTCATATTTTATGTTCCTAAAGTAACAGAATGACTTTCAATCTGAAAAAGAAAAAAGAAGTGCTAATGTAGCATTTTTTTTCAATTTTCCCAAAAAATTCCATTTTTTTCTGGAAAAAACCTGGGTCTTTTTTCCGAGCTTCAAAATTTCTGGAAATTTTACATCTTTAGCTCACCCCCACGGAGGAGTTAGGGAAGAGGAGACGCTGTCAGATGGCAGCAGGAAAAGAAAGCAAACTAGCGAGAGAAGATGACGTACTTTGTGCCGGGGGGGGGGCAAGTGAGTGCTGCAAGAGCCACTGAGTGGCATGGAAGGAAAACTCCTGCCAGGGGATGGCTGTAGCCAGCACAGAGACACCATGGTGGGAGAGTCGGCTGGCGGTGGGTCCTGAATTTCAAACACTGATTAGAACGAACTAGCCACTGCCAAAGGAAGGAGAAGAGCGCAAAATTAAAGTCCAGGCGCACCTCTGGTGGGGGAGGGCATCAAGTCGTAGCCGAGTTATGGCGACCCTGTAGGGTTTTCAGGGCAAGAGACGTTCAGAGGTGGTTGGCCATTGCCTGCCTCTCTGTGTGGCCACCCTGGACATTCTTGGAGGCCTCCCATCCAATCACTACCCAGGGCTGACCCTGCGTAGCTTCCGAGGTCTGATGAGAGTAGGATAGCCTGGCTTATCCCAGTCAGTGTTTGGGAGCCCCTTAAAGACCAACAAAATGGTCCAGGGTGTAAACCTTTTTGCACATCAGGTAGGAGAAAACAGCAATTTAGGGACTGGGAGACTAGGCAACCTTCACCCCCAATACACACAAATGCAGCATGACAAACTGGACCGGTAAACGGCCGCTCAAGCATCCGATTTTGCTTTGCCCCCTGCTCGTTATGGCGATGGCAGCTTTGCCCTTAGCATAAAGCAGCTGGTGCGTGGTGTGCAAGTCAAGAAGCCACTGAAGAGAACAACACTGCAAGTTCACGTACTGCTTTGCTGAGTTCAAAGCACTTCCTTTGCACGATCGTAGTACTTTTTATTTTCGCCCTGATGTGGGTGGCTAGCCTGATTTCATCAGATCTCAGACGCTAAGCAGGGTTTGGCCCTGGTTAGTATTTGGATGGGAGACCACCAGGGAATTCCAGGGTCGCTATGCACAGGCAGGCCATGGGAAACCACTTCTGTTCATCTCTTGCCTTGAAAACCCTATTAGGGGGGTCACCATAAATTGGCTGCTACTTGATGGCACTTTCCACCACCGCAGTACATTTTTATCCTGCTGTTCCTCCCTGGAGTTCAGGAAAGCAAATTTGGATCTTCTTTCCCTTTTTAAGTCCTTGCAGCTCCCCTGTGAGGTAGGTAGATCTAGGGTTGCCGTGTTCCTTTGGGCAGCCAGCAGGGGATGGGGGAGGGTGGGCTTACTAGGAGTTTCTTCCGCATTTCAGCAACATGCCCACATGACTTCAGCGTGACCCGGAAGTGATGTAGGCATGTCTGGGCGACGCTCTGTTTTTTGGGCCAAAAACTCTATGATAGATTAGCTTCTACCATAGAGTTTTTGCCCAAAAACCAGAGCGTCATCCCTGATGTGCCCACATCACTTCCAGGCATGTAGGCATGTAGCTGTAATGTCAGTGGTGTTCCTTCCTTTTTTTGGGGGGGGGGGAAGTCACCCTACCGGCCAGCTGATTGGAGGTGGAGAGGTGGGACCTGGCGGCAGGTGACTCCCACCAGGGGGAGGGTCTGGCATCCCTAGGTAGATCTGACAGAGGGACTGGCCTAGGGTCATGCAGCAAGCTCCATGGCCGAGTGGGGGGTTAGAACCCGGCTCTCCTAGAGCCTAGTCTGACACTCCTGCCACTGCATTGTACAGATTCACATACTAAGCCTTTGCTGCCTCCTTTCAGACTTTTTAGGCCTTAATGGGGTCATGGCTCAGTTGAAGAGCCACTGCTTGGCACGCGGGGGTGGTGGTGGTGTCCCAGCTTCAATCCCCAGCATTTCCAGTCCAAAGGACCAGGCAGTAGATGTCAAAGACCTCAGCCTGAGACCCCGGAGAGCTGCTGCCAGTCTGTGTAGACAATACTGACCTTGACAGGCCAGTGGTTTGATTCATTATGGGGCAGCTTCAAAAGTGTGTGTATGTGCACCCTCTGGCCCAGGGATGGGCAGCAGCAGTGTCAGTGTTTGTTCCTCAAGAAAGCTCCTTCCTGCTTTCAAGAGCTCGTTTGCAAAACTGCAGTCAAAAACTGGCTAATGGTCTTATCTTAATCCTGAAGTCACCTGGGAACTGTAGTTCAGAGTAGATGCCAGCAGTGTTCTCTCTAAGCTGGGGAGTCCTGTAAGCAAAAATTCTACTTTGTGAGCGGCTGGCATTCAAGTTGTGAGTGAGCGATTTGGCTGCTGCATAAATTAGTTTGCTCTGGAGCCCTCCTTCCTGAGCTAAGGCAAAAATGTGTGAGCCGGAGACTAGAAAACTGTGGGCTAGCTCACACTAACTCAGCTTA